TGGGGATGCGCGGTGGATAGTCGTACAGCCTGGCGGGTGAGGCGTGTGGTCCTGGGCTGGTGTGTCGGGGTGGAGCCATTCGAGAGAGAAGAGAGGGAGAATTATCGCAAAGGGCTTTATACAGGAGACAGAGGGGGGGGGGGGCAGCGATGATGCGGAGAACTGTGAGGCTTGGAAACCACATAGCGGATGTGTTGCCTTGATGGCTCGCTCCAGCACCCAGTCCAGCCGATTCAAGTGGGAAGGAGCTGCACCCATCCAGACGATAGGGCAGTTATCCATAACCGGCGGGACAAAGGCTTTGTAGTCTCGATATCGGGCAGGAATAGGCAGCAAGTGAAATGCCTTGTGCAAGGCTCCAAGTCTCTGCTTTGCTCGGACTAGAACAGATGATGTCATGCTCAGCTGCTTAGACGGTATGTATTGTTATGTTACCTTTATTTTACTTCACCATAGGTACAGGCATTGCTGCCTTCTTGCTGTGGATCATAAATGATGCCACAGCTCCTAGGCTACGATGAAAAATATAATAGTATGATAGATTAATATGATCAAATATGAACAGCATGGGAAGTAATAAGATGTCATGACTGTCAGCAGGACAATTATAAAAATACCATGCAGCAGTGTATTTTATGTGTGTTGTGGTTGTACATGTAGATAATATTGATGATGGACAGGGGACAGAACGTACTAGTGTGTCAATAGCTAATGGAGTGAAGTGAGATCAAGATGTATTGGAACAATCGACGAGGAGACAATAGTCGTAAAATGGCAATAAATAAGATAAATTGTGCACTCATAACAACAGCAAAAATGAAGAAAGTCAAGTTCCATAACGTTTTCTTGTGACTGTCATCAGTGGAACGCCGTCACATAAAAATGTAATAACTAAAACACACACTTATATACATGTAGATAATATATGGTCTCAGGTAGAAATACAGAGTATCACATTCATCTGCCACTACCTTTCTCACATACACTATATTCACACATGGCAAAGGTGCAAACTTCACTTTTTGTACTTGTTAGCTGCTGTATTTCTACCTGAAACCATATTATCTACATGTATATAAGTGTGTGTTTTAGTTATTACATTTTTATGTGACGGCGTTCCACTGATGACAGTCACAAGAAAACGTTATGGAACTTGACTTTCTTCATTTTTGCTGTTGTTATGAGTGCACAATTTATCTTATTTATTGCCATTTTAAGATGTATTGGAGCATTCCTTCCAGAATGTTCTCGATTAAGTACACACGCATTGCATCAGGATCATCACTAACCGTGGACTCCCAGTCTGTTGTTGATAAGAAGTGGCAGAGCCTTTCCCAGTCTGCGCGTTGGTAACGCTAGGCATTTCTGGTCACTGGAGGATCCTCTGCCATGCTTACATGAAAGTGAGCTAGGACACAGGCATGATCAGAGTTTCCCAGAGGTGCTAAGGTGTTGACTGTTGCATCTCCCAGCATGTCAGTCATTGTTAAGTCCAGTGAGTTAAGACCCCTGGTGGGCTCATGCACGTGCTGCTCCAAGCAGTGGAAAGCACATATGTCTTCAGTGTACACACGTGCATGAGTTGTCTCAGTGCTGCCGAGCCAATCAAAGTTGTGTACGTTAAAACCTCCAGCCAATACCACATACTGAAAAGATTTACGGGCCAGGTCGATGCCAGCACTGATGGCTTCGAGGGTACTGATGTCGTTGTTGTGGCCGATAGCCTAACGTGTGTGCGCGCTGAACATTGTTCAGACGCTGGAGGTGACTCTGCGCAGCTCCCATACATACAAGGTGCATACTCTATGAATGGTCATACTAACGCCTTATATATGGTCGTCTGGGCGGCAAGGCTGAGGATGTGGGCGGCTCTGTTTAGGATCCCAAGCTGTTGGCGTGCACGGGTGGCTACGGGACGTAGGTGGTCGCTAAAGTTCAGCTTGGCGTCCGCCTTCATACCAAGGAAGGTGGCGCTGGTTGTCTCGGGTACCAAACAGGAGTTGGGGGAGATTTAAGCCGGCGCGTCTGAGGATGGCTTTCATGTCCTGGGATTTCGTGGGTTCGAATATCACTTTCCATGTACAGCCCACTCGTGCAGTCGGTGAATGGACACCTGTAGTGACTGAGTGGCGACTTCCGGGGTCTGCTGGGAGGTGACTAAGCTGTACAAAGTTGTGTCATCAGCATAGTCCCCCAAGCTGGCGCCGTCAGCGAGAACATCTGGCACTTCGTTGACGTACGCCAGGAAAAGCGTCAGTCCAAGAATGCTTCCCTGGGGGACTCCAGCGGACGTCATAAACGTAGATGATGTCCCCCCCCCCCCTACCCAACAAGGCACTGTAGCGACCGGGTGTCCAGGTACGAGGCCAGCCATCTCTGAAACGGACCATCGATTCCTAGGCTACGCACCTTGTGGAGGAGGCTGACATGTGAGATACGATCAAACGCTCCTGAGATGTCCACATCAAGGATGCGAGCCGCCCCTGCACAGCACACAGCGCTTGCCCAGGCAGTTTGAAGAGCTTGCAAAACGTCCGATGTTTCGAGGCCTCTGTGAAGTTCAAACTAGTGCGGCGTGAGCAGATGGTGGTCCTCAAAATAGTTTACGATGTTTTTGCTTATAAGAGTATACAAAAGATAGAACTGGGGAAAGGCTATAACCCTGGGGAACTCCAATGCTGGTTGAAAATCTCTGTGTTGGTGTGCCTTTGACCAACAATATCAGTTCAGCGTTTTTGCAAATTCGTATATTTGCATTTTGAAAAATCTCCGGGACCCCGGTTCTTGTTACCGATGCCTCATATTCGCTGTTGCAAGCCTTGGAAAACGATGGCGCCATGAAGAAGTCACTGTGTGCTACCATCCACTGGTCACACTGCAATGTTTGCATTTGTCATGCACCACTACTTGAGTACTTCGCACCTACATGGCCAGCACATAGCTTTGCACCTTTTTACACTAAAATTAAAGGGTAAAAAGGGGTGTGACATACAATTGAGCATAACTTACTACTGAAGTCAATATAATATCAAAAAAACAAGGCAACTTGGTCCTTATCTTTACTATAATTTGGCTCAAACTTGAATTGGGGTGTAACTTGTAATCGAGTGTGACTAAAAATCAGGGAAATATGGTACTCGCTGCTTCTGCACTTTCTAGCAAATTGGTGACACATGCTGGCGCAGTTCTCTGGAATTCCCTCCATGCGGATATCCGAGGCATCACCAAAATGGCCGCCTTCAAGTCAAGCGCTTTGCAACACATTCTTGCCTGCTTTTAGCTTTACGCCCATGTTTCTGTAGCTGTGCTGGAACTGCTCTATTTCGCCGCCTTTATTTACCATTAGCCAAGTCTTCCCCCCCCCCCCCCCCCAACCCACCACCTCCACCACCCTAGACAGTGGGTCCATTGTTATTAGGCATCTGCCTGTTTTGGTTTCTCCACTGTAAACGAGAGAGCTTGGAAGCTCAGGGCCCTACGCTATGCTTTTTTGCCTCGATGACCTAGACAAAAAAAGCATAGAGATGTTATAAATTCTTATAAATTTCTCCTTCATTTTTAAGACAGAACCTGGTATTCGAACCCGCAATATCGCCCTGCATGCATCCCCCGATACACTTCGCATACATACTAATTCTTCCAAGTTGCTTCACGTTATGATCTTGCATTTGAAAGCCCTATTTGAATAGGCATTGTGGCCAGCCGTCTTTGATGGTACGGTACGGGACAGGTACGGGACAGGTACGGTCGAGGATAATACGACACCGTCTACCGCCTACTACTTGTTTTCTCTTTCTTTCCTGCTGTTGGCTTCACTGTAAAGTGAATTTTGTTTGCTACTTTTAGGTGGTGAGCCAGTTTTTCTCCCGGCATTATCGAACAATGCTTACTTTCTTCGTGGTGTAAACACAAAGTATGATTGTTTACTTGCAAAATACTGCCCTCTCTTTGCTCTCTTGTTGCAGACACGCTATGCAATCACGACCCTTCAACGAGCGGAGGAATGGAACAGCAAATCCTGACATGTGAATCGAATGGTGATCAAGTTTGCCTGTATGAGAATAACAGTAATATGACAGTCGCTTGTGGCGTCGGATGTACAACTTATCCGATATGCCAATACAACCGTGCAAGCAGTCAGTACTCCTGTATCTGTGGGAAGCCATTAGGAGGAGTCACCATTAACGTTACTATGCAGTGTGATTGTGAGTGCAATTGTGATTTCTCATTTCTGATTTCTATATTGGCAAATTGCTCAAGTTTGGGTTAAGGAGGGCAATATAATCATTGCCAAAGTTACACCCTTTGAAAACTTGTTTCGGATGCGGTGTGAAAACAGACCTCACTCAGAGACTTCTCTTTGAAAGATGCTAAGATGCTCCGGTCTTTTGCAAATGAATGCTGGGTCTTTCCAGCTTCTTTTGAGACCAAGATGGTGCAGATTAAGTAAAAATAAGTGAGTAACAGCTTGTTAAAGTCATCGACGGATAGTCGTCGATTTTTGACTGGCCGGTCGGATAAGGGTTTCTTTCTTGCAATTCGTGTTACCGTATGTACATTTGCAGCTAACATGTGTGAAGTGCCCAGCATTGTTAATGGATCCAGTACGAACACATTTACAAAATACAGTGAAGTACTCAACTACTCCTGCAATGATGGTCTGGTAAAATCTGCAATCCCGATTTGTGAGACGAATGGATTTCTAAGTGCGACTCCTACTTGTGAGAGTAAGTGGAAACAGCCTTATTGTACTTACATTCCTACTTATTCATTATTATTCCCATAGCTATGCAAAAGATGTTACTTCAGTTACTTCAGTAATGTCTGGCGCTAGCCAGGGTCCACACAGCCTTTGTCTATTTTGTCTATCGTACAGACTTTCAACCCACCCGGGCTGAACTCGACCCGGGTTGAATTTTCTCATGTTAACACAGCCAAACCACTCGGTACCAACCGAATACGTACGCTACCACCCTTTCACGTGCATCTACTACAGAGCCCGTTGTACAAGTAGGTCCAAATATGTACACTACAACCATTCCTGGCGCATCCTCTACAGAGCCCATTGTACAAGTAGGTTCCCAGTACGCACCTCCTGCACCCAAACATGGCACGCGAATGACCAGCTCTGGTACTCCTGGTGAAACTGACTGTAATGGTTGGCAGTATCCTCCACGCCGACACATGACTCATGCTCTCGCACTGCAGAGTTCTATTACGTCACAGTGCAAAAAGAAAGCAAGGCAGCCTCCAGGGGCAGGAAGGATAAAGCGGAAGTGCTTCTACCTCGGAGATGTCGATCCTGGGTGTGAGGCTGACTCTATCAGGGAGTGGTGCAATTTCGGAGTCCAAGTATTTTGGTACTGCTTATGCTCACCTCGTTGTTCCGACTGAGCATACTGACCAGGTTCTCGAAGAAGATTTCTGGCCAAGCAAAGTTTCCATCGGGGAATAGAGATTTGCATCTGACAGCACAACCTTGGATCAGTTTGCTAGTAACTAAATCATGCGCACCCGTTCTTTCCTACCAGACACTCCTTTCCCACTCACCAGCATTCTGGACCACCCCAGCTTACACTCCTATCAACAAACTGTCGTTCTGTAGTGAATAAGTGTACAGAGCTTCCTATAGTTGCTGAAGAGTGGCAGCCTGACATAATCTGCCTAACTGAAACCTGGCTCGACCCGAATATTGCACTTAATATTACGCATTATGACACCTTCCGGAGGGACAGGCCCCCTGCAGAGAACAAGTCCGGGACCAGTGCATGAGGTTATGGTGGTGTCGCTAGCCTTGTTCGACAGAATAAGTTAAGTCTGTTGCCGTGCGTCTCGATCTAGCTCGCGATGGGTGCGAAGCCATTTGGGTTCAACTCCAGCCGTATCCGGCTGCGGCTGAGCCGATCCTCCTCTGCTGCAGTTATCGTCCACCTTCTGCTAAGACTACAGATATAGCAAGGTACTGCCAGACCCTCGAAGATGTACTCATTACCGTATTTCCCCGATTATAAGTCTCACCTTTTTGCACTAAAATTCAGGGTGAAAAAGGGGTGTGACTTACAATCGAGCATGACTTACTACTGAAGTGAATATATCGCAACAGTATTGCTCAAACCTGAAAATGGGGGTGCAACTTATAATCGAGTGCGACTTACAACCGGGGAAATACGGTACTCTTCCTCTTTCATCTTCTCAAGTTATCTTGACGGGTGGTTTTAATGGCAAGCACACTTCATGGTGCTCGACAGATTCCACCAATACTGCCGGTGCTGAATTGTATCACAAGCTCAGCTCATGTGGTCTTCACCAAATTGTCAACTCATGTACATACACGTCACCCTCTGGTGTCCAAGCCTGCTTGGATTCGGTGGTTAGCAACCGTGACAATCTCTCGTCTTGCGTCGAAACTGACTGCCCTCTGGGCACCTTGGACCATGCAATTGTGTACTGCCAGTTCGACATCCCACTGCCTCAGTCTCTCCGCGAAACAACGTCTCAAGCTCAGGAGCATAACCCTATGTCTTTCGACCTCCAACACATTACACCTGCTGTGTGGGAGGCAGTCAATGCAGACTTAGACTCTGTACCTTGGAACTCATTAATATCCTCAGACGTGGACAGTGCACTAAGTAACCTGCACAGTGTCCTGCAGACTGTGCTGTCCAAGTATGTTTCCCTTCATAGCTCCCGCAAACCAAATCGAACTCCCTCAACCCCAAGGTCTACACGCAAATATCATCCATGGGTCTCCACTGAACTACGCAAGGCTATCAAGTTGAAGCGTGACCAAGAGTACATAAACCAGAGTGTGCAACTCGGGATGGTTCCTGTGGGAGCGTAATTCGTGCAGTACGTCATTTCTGACGGCATGGTAAGCCACAGGTATGGTGAAAAGTGGCGTAACCAGTCGCGGTGGTGCATGTCACTGAGTTTGTCCTGATTTCGGTTTTTTTGATACGGATAGCCTGGTGACGTTACTCGTCGGTGGATGTACACAGTCACACAAAACACCGAAATCCTGAATCTGGACGTCTAAAATCAAGCAAACTTGGCTGATTTCCGGGCTATGAAACATGTAAATTTGAGCTGTACGCAAGTCGCGGCTTGGCTAACCTCATCAGGGTGACGTAGTGCACGAACTGCGCTGTTTCAGATCTGATATGCACAGTTGCACACTTTGGTTTATGTACTCTTGGCGTGACCTATTCAGCCTCTCCAAGAAATTCCCTACGGACTACAACCTATCAGCAGGCCCAGAATCTGCGAAAACCAGGCTTAGGGTAAAAATCATTTTTTTTTGAGAAAAATGATGTTTTGTAAAATGGTTGTGTCGCGTGGACGATCGAGTGCAGTGAAGTGGAACCAAAGAGAATCTCGCTTGTTTGAAGAAGTAGCAGTCATGGCAGGAAGGGTTTCAGCAGTCCGGGAAGTCAAAGGGCTTCCGGTAGAATATTCCCTGCTACTCCTCTAGTCACAACGAAGAGTTTTGGAGCTGATCGAACGGATTCCATCTCCTACACTCAAGGATGGGCGAAATTTCTGCGCTAGGTGCTGCTTGCGGAAAATGGTGAAGAAATCGTCTGATTGAGATCTGGAGATCTTGCATGCTGACAGAAGGGTGAGCATCAACAAGCGATCGGAGCTAGTGACCAAGTGCAGACATGAGAAAAAATTCTACCTATCTAACTTCACACCTCCAGTTACATAAACCAGGATTACACCTGATGTCTGGCGCTGATCTTGCAAGTACATGCATAGAATCACCGCTTGACCTTATTTGCGCTTAAATTCTCTGATTCCACTAGCACCTTACCACACTATATCAAGAACATTCATTGAGTTTTTGTAATCATTGCTGTCTGATGATCGCCACAGGCGTGAAACTCGGAGTCACAGCCAACCCAAGCTCCGTATTCTATTCCTTTGGTATGAAGCTCTGCAGCCCGGTGCATTGAGCACTCTTTCGAGGACCACACTCAACTTCCCGTGTGTGACACTCGTCCTACTTGCCAATTCACCCGCGTTCATACCACTACAGCAGACGTTCGTAAAGCAATCTCAAACCTGGAATCTGGGAAAGCGCCAGGGCTAGACGGTATCAAGAACAATGTGATGAAGAAGCTAGCTCCTGCGACTTCTTTTCCACTTAGCCGCCTATTTAACCTCTCCTTTACCACAGGCAAGTTCCCTACCGACTGGAAACTGGCTTAAAGTGTGCCTATTTACAAGTGCAAAGGCAGCAAGTCCCAAGCTAGTAACTATCGCCCAATTTCCCTCCTATCCTGTATTTCCAAACGTTGCGAACGGCTCTTCTTCAATCAATTATATAATATTTCTCCTGCTCTGGATCCCGCGCAATCGGGGTTTCATCGTGGTGACTCGACCGCTCTACAGCTCACCAAGCTGATCCAAAACATTGCCGACCATCGTCATATGGGCGGAAAGTTGCCATGTGCTTTTTCGACCTCGGGAAAGCTTTCGACACCGTGTGGCACCGTGCATTACTTGCTAAACTTTCCAAAGTTTTCGGTGTGTGTGGCGCAGCGCTGGAGTGGATTACAGACTACCTATCCGGCAGAACGCAAGTTGTCTTTGTAGTTGAACTTGTCTCAGATGCTTCACCTCTTCTATCCGGAGTGCCCCAGAGATCCATCCTAGGGCCTCTCCTTTTCCTAGTGTATATTAATGATCTTCCCAGTCATGTTGAAGTTGTGTCCTTATTTGCGGACGATACTGCACTGCTCCGATTCAATGAGTGTCTAGACAGGTTGCGAGACAGTCTCCAGCGCGGTATCAACGAAGTCCGTCAGTGGATGACTACATGGAGACTAAGACCTAATATCGCCAAGAATGAGATATTATTCCTGCCGAACTCAGAGCCAACCTATGCATTCACTCTTCCCGGATCCCTCACAGACGTCACAGTGGTAAAGCAACACAAGCATCTTGGTTTGGTCTTTGACTCAGACTTATCGTTTAGCAGACATGTCGACTATATCTGTACCAAAGTCAGTAAAGCTGTTGGCTACCTCGTGTCTCAATGCTCCCACCTACCGCTTGAATGCATTTGCCGTTTTTTATCATTGCTATAATCTCCCCATTTTTCTCTATTGCTCAACCGCCTGGTCATCCCTACTAAGTAAATCGTTAATGAGTGCCCTGGAAGTCCACAATAAGAGGATACTGAAAGTCCTTTTCCGCAAACCATCATACTTTCCCTCTGCCGAGCTGTATGATATGTTTAACACCTTTCCCCATCTCTAGTCAACCAGATCGAAAACTGTGTATTATTGTTCATTCTATTCGTCTTGACAAAGCCCCGCCACACCTGCGTAAATATAACTGGTTTCTTCCCACTCGTCCTACGCGCAATTCCTGCCATTTGCCTAAAGCCCGAACATCAGCTTATACCAGATGTCCGTTTTTCGCTGTCTATTCTCTCTGGCTGGCCCTGCCTCTATCAGTAAAATCGTCTTGTACGCTAAATGATTTCAAGGCAAACATGAAGCTCGTGTTCTCATAACTGCTAATTCTTCATCGACATTTGTTTCTCTTTGCCTCCAGTAATGTGTAATATTTATTATTAAAAAGAAAGGTAAAGGACAAAATGTTACGGGTTATGATAAACTGTCCACCAACGTAACCAGATCTTATGCAGTCAGCAAGTGCGACAAAATGGCACAAAACTGACACGGAGTACTGAGACATTCGGCGCCCTGACACCTAGCTCCAACACTTCTCCAAGGCGCAAACCAACAACCTTCCGACTTGGAAGGCTCAGGTTCGGAAAGGTCCAAAAGGGGAAGGAACATGTTGTCCTTTACCTTTCTTCATCCTAACTATATATCCTAACTATATTGGCTCACCACCCGAGTTCAAATTTATTATTATAATATTATTTTTATATTTTTGTATTCGACGAGGAGACAATAATTTTAATATGGCAATAAGTAGGACGAGCTGAAGGGACATTTGGATTACTTTATTAACAATGGAAGTG